GTCCCAAGGCCCTGAAGTCTCTCTTGATTGCCCTCAGACTTCTAGTTGCAACTTCATCGCTGCCTACCTGAAAAATCAATAATGGAAAATAATCTGAGGGCCATACCAGGGTAGGAAGTTTTCTCTTCACATCTTCAACCCAGGCCCCAGGGAAGCAGCAGACTTCCCTAAAAAGTGGGTCCAGTCGGCATATTGGGCCTTCTGTTTCCTGAATTGTCTCATTCTTCAAATATGAGAGTAAATACTACTCACACGAGCTTGTAAGCCTTGAACCTCTGCAAGGTGTGCTTTTTCCAAATCTTCTATTTTCTTTCGTTCAGCTTCCTGGCGTTTGATGAAGTCAAGTTCTCTTAGGGAAAAAAGGATGTATTTGCTGTCATCAAAGCAATCAGATTCAAACAGAAAATAAAATGTTCTGATATATCTTAAGCTATGCATCAGAAAAATCTGTCCTTAATAAATATTTTATTACTAACCTAGTAAGAAGTATGAAACTGCAATCAGGACAAAACCCTAAACAATTACTTAGTCTAAGTGAATAAGCTAGGTGAAGATATAAAAATGGTAAGAGGAATGTATCTGAAAAAAAAGTCAGTTGTTCTAATTGATAATCAAAACAGTTAAATCAAACTAATTTTTTCATAATCTGTATTTACAATGAAAACAACGTTAGCTTAGCTTATGCTGTGTTCTCTTGTAGGAAATGGAGCAAAATCTCTGTTTTATTAGAGTATGACTGCACTCCTTCACAGAAAGGACATCCGTAAGTTTCCAGGTACAAATCTAATTTTCTAGTAAGCTATAAGGAAAACTGTTAGGTGATTTTAGGAGTCTGAGATAGTTAAAAACAACTGACTAGATCTTTTACTAATATAAAGCAGAATAACAACAGAAAGGCTATCCAAGCTCATTCTAGCTATTTTCCTTATTTCTTTTTATTTTGAAAATCTAAGATGTTTGTGACAGAAAGCACACAAGATGCCAGCTAGTTCTGGAACAGTCATGAAATTCCAAGATGGGTAATGATATTTTGACTATCTAAACTCCTTTTTAATGGGACAGGATATTCACTTCTGCACTCCCAGCTGTCACTTGACATTGCTGTATGTTTTTGAGTTTTCTTCTTTAAATGAGTGTATTTCAACAGAAAATGAAAAAGTTGCTGCAAAAAAAGAAATTTGGGGGAATGGAAGCTGTTATAGAAATGTAAGATGTTATTCTTGCTAGCCATCAGGGAGAGGGGACCACATGAAACAGAGGGGGCCAGGTAATCATCAGTTAGCTCAACTCAGCTCAAACATTCTTGGTATCTACGAGAAGAAGAAAAATAAAATGTAAAATGTAACAAAACAAATTTCTTTTTGATGTTACATTAGTACACAGCAGGAGTGAATCCAGCTGACACAATACCAATATAAACTGCTGCAAACCTTGCTAATCAAATGCTTTACTATGATTACTCTTGGTTTTTTGCAATCACATTGAGTTATCTAGTAATTCTGAAACATTCCAACCTGGAATACTACAGATTAAGTCTTTATTTAGTTATAGTACTATTTTTCAACAATACTAAACTAATACTTGAATACTACTAACATTTTTCCATAATAAAGAGCCCGTGTTTTTCATGAAAAAAAAAGTGAAAAATAGTGTTTACCTTACAGGTGTTTAATAGTGGGTTTCATATTTCAAAATATATCACATATATGTTTCCTATCTGGCCACTAAGTCATTTGCTGAGCCTGGCATAGCTGCTTACTTTTGCTGAAAATCCTTGATTAATTTCTTTGCCTTGTTATATTTCTTCTCCAGAGCCTGATACTGGCTTTGCGTCTCCTTGAGGTGCTCATTCACCGTATGACACAGGGTTTGTGCCTCAATCCAATAACTCTCTAATTTCATCATTCTTTCCTTATTCTCCTCAATGTTCTGCTGGAGTTGGGTCTTCTCCAATTCCCACCTCACCTTCTCATTCTCAGCAGCCTGCAGCTGAACAAAAGAGTGGACATGCCAGTCAGCAAAAAGGTGCAAAGTGCAGCCGAATCGTTTAGGATGAATTCAAACAATGTGAATAGTGAAAATCAGTGAATTAATAGCTATATAAGTAATATGCTAGCAGTGAAAAGAGCATTCAAAGACAAAGAACACAGCCTGATACATACATTATTCTTCCTCATAAAACGAAGTAGAACCTTTGCACTGTGCAGCCAGTGCAGCCTCTGTGCTTCTCTGGGATATACCAACGTGCTTTAAAACTGTCAATAGCGGAGTATTCAGGCAAATTGCAGTCAGCACTGGAGATGCATTTTGCTCTACGCTTCTGGCTCAGGTGTTAGAAAGCATTCATACACTTTGATAAAATGAGAAATTTCTTATTTTGGGGGAAACTGATTTTCAGGTTCTAGATTTGATTTAAGAATGATTTAGAAAACAATAGGAAAAAACCCAATTGCAACTATCTGCTTTTTTACCCACATTAGAAAATCTATTGCATTCTTACAATGTCTGTTTTCATGTCATAATCTTGCTTAATCTAGAAAGGCAAACAAAAGAGGTTGGAGCATAATTCAAAATTTAACATTGGGTCATAACCTAGAATCTTTTTTCATTTAAGCAAGCACAGAGTTTTGCATCCAATACTGAAACTATGCTAGAACCATTACGAGGACAAAGAGAACCTGTTATAAATATATTACTCGTTTTCTTTAAACTTGCTTACTGAGTTGTAAGGAGCTAATATGAAAAGAAAAATATGTCCTTGCTGTTGAAGATTTCAGGTGCTAATTCTGCCAAACACATCAGCACTATTTAACTCTATGACCACTGCGAGCTCCACTGCGAGTGCCACTATTTGGCACCAATGAAGTCCAATGACTTGGAAGTGACCTTAGAGAAGTCCAAATTTTACTGCTGAGTTTGTAATAAAACTTAGCTCCTTTGCTAGTTTTTCTGTTAGATATTTTTTGTGTTAGGCTTCTCACTTCCCAGCTGAAGCTAGCTGCGGGTTTGAATGTTTGGTGCTGGATAAGGGTAGGGTTGTTCAGCAGCTTGCATGTTTTAGCTCCCAGAATTTATGGAAAACAAAAAATGCCTTAACATCCTTGTTTACTTATCAAGACTGTTTAATTTGCTCTAGGCAGTTCTGCTAGCATCAAGGATGATGCACACAGAAAGAAAATAACTTGTTTGCAGTTTTATTAGTATATATACCTAAACTAGCCACATTTTCTTCGGCTTTATTCAAAACACTAGGTAAAGAAGCCCAACACAAAAAGGCACATTAATCCTAATCTTGCAAATGGAGTTGCACAGATGAATGTTTACACCCACACATCATTGCCATGAAGTCAATGGGGCTCGGCACAATCCCAAGGGATTGACCGTGCGGCTCCGATTGCTAGATTGGAACTGGAAAGTGGAGGAAGAACAGATTTCTGACTTTCTGAACTGAAACAGTACAACAGAAATTGTCCTTACAGAACATAGCTGCACTCTGAATTTGGTTTTACCAATAATTTATGCAGATTTGATAAACACTATGCAAAATACACAGTCAGTGCAAATAGCTGCTAGAAAGAAATAATAATCTAAAATCTTTTTCTGAAGTACAATTTTCTCTTTGTTTTCTTTTTATTTCCTTTATAACGGACTCAAACTCAACGAGAAGGATGTCATTATAAAACCTAATATTACTCAACAACTGAATTATCAGTCGACTTCCCATAAAGGTTATCCTAGTACAAAAAATACAATTTCTTCTTACTGCTATAGCAAATGCAATCTAAGATACAGCAACCGATTGTGAGATAATGTTTTCTGTCAAACTGGTAAGCTTTTTCCTTTCTGTACTATCTTTTAAAAAGAACTGCAGCAATATGAAACAGCTCTTTCTTCTGTATATAAAAAAGTAATTTTTATTAAACACCTTTAAGTAAGTGAGTTTTTTTACAAAAAATGTCAAAAAAAGGAACTAACATAAACAGGATACTTTAACATCACTGGTAAATAAAAAACCCTAACAACTTACACTTAAATATTCAATCCAAATATAATTTAAAAACCTGAGAAAATGCATTAGAATTGTAAAACTAGAAATGTGCCATTTAGTCATTACCATACCCCTTAAAATGTATGTTTAATTGAAGCTACACAAGTTGGCAGTTTCTCTTATTAGCAGCACTTAAGATTTTACTTGAAACTTTGAATAGAGAATATACACCAAGACAAGATTTAGCTGAGCCACTGTGCTTCTTAATCAGCCTTTAATAAGGATGTTGACTTCTCCACCCACATAAAGATACATGTCTTCAGATCCGATTTTGCATGAGAGGAAAAAAACATGTATTAACCATAGATTCTTACCTTCGTCTTCAGCTTCTGAATTTCAGCTTCTGTAACAGCATGTTTGATTTGTAACTAAAATTGAAAATATAAAATAAACAAGTGAAGTCACAGAGAGTACTCCAGTATTTTTAAAGCCTGTGCTGCAAGTTGAATACTTTATTACATAGCAGAAGGCCTTGAAGAGTGCTGCAGTGCAGTAGATTGTAAATTAAAATGTCTAGCTTGCAAAATGACTCAGTCTGTGCAACCTAATTAAAGATAGGATGCCGTCTAACCACTCATAATTTCAAATCAGAACATCCAATCTGTTTAGCAAAACCAAATGTCTTATGCTTAAAAAAAAATAGATGTCATCCTGCTGGGTTTTGCTCTCCTCTGATGTGAACGTGAAATACGTCCCAGTGCTGTCAGAAAGTCCCACTGCATTGATTAAAGCAGGCACGTTACAAAAAAGCAAATATGGAAATAATTGATTTAACAACTCAAGAAGTCAGGAAAACCTTGAGGGAAGACTCCACACATTTATTTCACGCAAGAAAAAAGGTAAACCGATGCTATCCTTCTCCACCATTAGCTGGAGTTATTCTGCTCAAGCTAGCTAATCTCAATTGAGAGCAGTTACACAGGAAACTGTAAAAAACAGGAAACGGCATTCAAGCACACAAAATGATGGCAAGTAGATTAACAGCCCAGGCAGTGTGCTAAAGGTTGTAGTTATACTACCAAGCAGCATGCCACAGTAACAGTGGATCTGTACAGTGAAAGGGTCGGTGCTGAGGACCTGGCATCCACCTGCACACTTTCCGGAGGGATTTCTTCTGGATGGACCTACGTTAGTCTGATCCTGTGGAGTGAATACTCATTAGCTCTTTGAGTGTATTAGGTAACGTCCTGAAACATCTTCAGTTTCACCCCAAAGGTGTGCTATTCACAGGCTCCAAGAACGCTCTGAAGTACGAACTGAACCACAGCTTCAACAGCATAACCCTAATCCAAATAGAAATGATCATGCACATACACCCAATACTGGTCTGCACCCAAATCCCTGCTGCTTTATTATTTAAAGCAGGTAGCACGGACAAATTTCTGACAGGCCCCAAAACCTTAAATCTAAAGCACTGTTTAATCTGAATCAGTGACTTGTGTGTGTTGGGTTGACGGCAAGGGCAAAACCTGAATTACAGCCTGAGCTGGCACTGCAGTGGAGACAAAGCCTTTGTCCATTATTTATGAATACCAGGAATAGTTACGGAAAAGCATGTTCTACATGGGGGGTTACTTCTCTTACAAGACTGATGGGAGCCTTTGGGAATAGTTTATATTGAGCTAATGGAGCACGTGAAGGAGTTGTACTGAACCAGAAATTATCATCTCTGGTGAAGCAATGGCTCCATTCCTGAAGACCAGGCTGTTAGTAAAAAAATGTACAAATAATTCAAAAGAGAAGTTCTTCTGGGGGAGAGGAGTAATTTTCAAAATAACAGGAGCCATCATGGAGCTGATCGGTACAAGTATCTTCGAGAAAGGCCAAGCTACTTTTGAAATTCTCTTTTCGTGGAGCCTCTTGAACGCATTTCTTGTGGCATAGGAAATGCACACTCTCAGATGCAGTTTGGTTTGCAAATCAGCCTTAACTGATCTAGTGAATAATCCTAGTCCTTTCTGGTGGAGAATTACTGAATTTATGCTGGAAGGAATAAAGGAGGCACTGATGCAACCAGTTCCACCTGAGTAACAGTTTAGGAATCTTCTTTCCACTGCTCATTTCTTGGTCACTGTCTGCAGAGGAGACTGTAAGCACTTCTCGTCCCCAGGATCATCTGTTACTTATACTTTCTTTTTGACTTTGCACTGAAAAGTGTAACGAATCTTCAAGTGCTCAGCGAAAACAGATACAAGATTTCATTTCAAATTAAACCAGTCACTGACTGTAACAGCTTGAAGAAACATGTAAAATGTGGAGGCACGCCAGGCGCAACTAGCAGGTGGAACATGCATGGGGCCAGACCAAACCTGCCCCGAGCACGCAGCTAACCCGTGGATTACACGGGGTTCCTGAGGAAACACCACATGAGAGCAGGGCTACTGGTCCAGGCCAAGAGACGCCAGTGCAGCTGGGAACAGGGCACTTGGCAGCCCTGGAGCTGGTGTTAACGGCAAGAAGTGGCCAGTGGTGCTACTCTACCCAGTAGACCAGGAAGCCAAGAAGGATATATACCTTTCTGTAATTATACGTAGTAGAGGAAACTAAGGAGATACTTCAATTAGCATTTGCAAGAGGTTACTTGCAATTTTTGAGCTCACTCAATCCAACCTCTGATCTTCAATTTTCAGAGATTGAGAACTGTTTTTCCTCATCATTCCATTTCTGTTAGTAGTGAAAAATTACAAAAGAACCATCTCAAAATGTCATGGTGTTTATAAGGTGCCCAGGCCTTTGTTTAGTTCTGCTACCTCATTGTTTTGGAGTGAGATAAAATCAGGGGAAGGATGGACGAGCTAGACTTTGCCCTTTGTGGAGTTAATAATGAAATCAAAAAGCCAAGACTCAAAGCCTTAGGCTACCTGCTTACAGTCCATTCCCATCTCTTCTAAAACCCCACAAACCCATAAGCAGCACTTAAACAGCTTATAATTATATACAAATAAACTCCAAATTGTTGCATAAATGACAATCTGCTCAGGTACAGATGGTTTTAACAGTTATTTTTATACTCTCTGTTATTAAGTTAAAAAAATGAATACTGAGCACCCAGTCAGATCATTGAATCAGTACATGGTACAGCAGATCCCGCTGAGGCAAAAGAAAAAAGACACTTTCCTGCCGAACAGACAAATGTGTAGCTGGACATCTACTTTTTTCTTTTTTTCTTTTGTTAAAGAACTAATTATGCTTGCAGAATAGATGAGAAATACTAACACATTTATAGGTTAGACTAAACAACAGGCAAGGTCAACTGTTTGGCAAGCAAATCTGGACTCCGTAGTTAAAAAATTTTAAGCAAGTTTCCTAATAGGGGAGCAAAAATACCTTATTCCATGTCCCATATAATGCCAGACAAATTCTTGGCAGATATTATTTTGTATTTTTATGTTTTCTAAGTCAATATAAAACTGTGAATGCTTCATTTAAACAATGACATTTTGAATAGTTTTTGGCACATTTCCTTTTCAAAGATGTCTTGAAAAGCTGATTAATTTTCTTCAAAACAAAACTTTTTATAAAAAATAAGATATAGAGAGAAAATGGATTGAATTCATCTAAGACTGCAAAAGGTAGAATGGGATGAAAAGCTAGCAAATGTTAAAACATCCAGAGTACACTGGAAAAGAAAGTACCCAATGGAATCTAATAATGCCCATGACAATTTTTATATAATCATGATATAATTTTTGCATATAATAATAATAATAAATTTTTCATATATTTCATTAAGACATGAAATATAATACCTAATTCTTACATAAGATGTCCCTTCTCCCTACGTCTCTCTTCAATCATCACAGCTAAAATAAAGCTTCTAGCTCTTTCTCTCAAAGCAGTTAAAGAAAATCAGTCCCATTTTTCCTGTTTTACAGCCAGGAAAACAAGACTTGCAGAAG